AGCTGCCCTGGAACTCACTATGTAGACCAGGCTGGCCTCAAACTCACAAAGATCTGCCTTCCTCTGCCTCCCAAGTGCTGGGATTAAAGGCATAGGCCACCACGCCCAGCAATATTTTTAAATTTTTAAATTAAAAAATAAATAGTCAAGTTCTGAAAGGGCAAAAATGGCAAAATGAGCACTACCATTTATTGACTTCTTACTCTTCCCCAGTAAGCTAAGCACTCTACATAAGTAATTTATCTCTGACCAGAGTCCCAAAAACTATCCCAGTTTTTGTAGAGAGCTATATAAAACCTTAGGTAAAGTGAAGTGCTAACAACTACAAAAAAAAAAAAAAAAAGTTTTTAAGAAATATTTTATTTTATTTTGTTCTTATTTGGTATTTTTGGTATTTTGGGGGTTTGAGACAGGGACTCCCTGCAGCCCCAACTGGCCTGGTACTTACTATATAGACCAGGCTAGCCTCAAACTCACAGAGTTTCACCTGCCTCTGCCTCCTGAGTGCTGAGATCAAAGGTATATGCCACCATGCCTGGCAGAAATATTTATTATTTTTATTTTATGTGTATGAGTGTAATGCCTGCAAGTAGGTGGGTACACACGTGTCATGCAATGCCAGGGGAGGTCAGAAGAGGGTGTTGGATCCCCTGGAACTGGAGTTATAGACAGTTGTTAACCGCCATGTGTGTGCTGGGAATTTAACCCAGGTCCTCTGCAAGAGCAGCCAGTGCTCTTAACTGCTGAGCCATTTCTCTAGCCCCAGCAATCTTATAATGTAAGTAAAATTAACACAAGGCCTTTCAGGATTGGAATCCAGCTCTGCCACAGACTCCTCCATGAAAATCCCGAACAAGCCCTTCATTTCTCCTACCTTGATTTCACCACGTGTGAAGCAGAGCTGATTTCGGAGGACCTTCTCCACTCTCTTCTTCATCTGAAGCTGTGTAATGTTTATTTTCAGTCTTTTGGGTCTTTTTGAGACAGGGTCTCCCTGTAGCCCCAGCTGCCCTGGAACTCACTATGTAGACCAGGCTGGCCTCAAACTCACAAAGATCTGCCTGCCTCTTCCTCCCAAGTGCTGGGATTAAAGGCATGTGCCACCATGCCCATCTTACTTTAATTATTTATATGGTGGGGGTGTGTGTGCACATGAGTGGAGGTGGCCTCAGAGGCCAAAGGCATTGGATGCTCTGGAGCTGGAGTTACAGGCAGTTGTGAGCTGCCTGCTGTGGTGCTGGGAACTGAACTCTAGTCCTCTGAAAGAGCAGTACACTTGCTCTTAACCGCTGAGCATTCTCTCCATTTCCTAACCCAACATTTAAATTTGCAGTTGTCTGTCTTCAGAACCTGTCTTATCTGTACTCCATACCTCCTCCATGGGAAATTGCTTATGAGGTGACACATGTATCATATATATGAGGAAACTCAAGACACAGAAAGTGACTGAATGGGAATGTGCTCCAAAACA